GCAAAATAATTAACGTAGTTTATCTGAAAGAAATGGTGTACGTGCTCCTAACGAGGTGATAATAAGAATTTAGAATTGACAATGAAAGCAAAGAAGTGGTTGCTTACTCCCAGGGGTACACGACCCCTGTTGGCTCCCCGCCCCTTCCCCAGCCGATAATGTTCGCGTGTATCAAACAGAAGGATGGGTTGAATTGACGGAAGAGCAACCGAACTCTTTTGTTTCCTTGGTACAATATTGGTTATAAGGAGTTGGAATTTGTAGCTTAGGAGACACCTGCCTGTTATGCACACATCATATAGCCTATCAATACCAGATAAGGTGTATAAACTATCGAACAAGACGAGGAAAGAAACAGGGAGACGGAGGGGGAGCGAGAGAGAAGGAGAGGAACACAAGGGCTCGTTATGTCAACGAAACTAGACCGAGATTAGCAAACACAACGGTTTTGATTGGCCTGTGGGATCTACGCCACACGACCCACACGCGTACATGATTTAGATAACTCCAAAATTATGGTGTCAATCTTGTTGGATAATAGTCTTTGACGACTCAGACACGGATTGAGTGTATGCGACCACGGTGTGTATAGTTACGATGATGGGGTGTATGATCCCTGTGGGCGAGGTCCGTGTCGACACCTTGACTGAGTTTTATCTACTCGAAGTCCGCGTCTATATAATGCTACTAGATGCCAAGGAAAATGTGTATATTGTAATGATTTGGTAATTGAAATTAGAGCCACAAACAAAACAAAAATCTGAATTTTGATTTTGATTGATCGGTTGTATATATGACACGATAGAAACGATTTTCCTAACTTCCCTAAAAGCTGATGTACATTAAGGTTTTCCTTGTCCAGTGACTGGTTGTCAGGTCACTATGATCAATTCATAATAATGTTCGCATTATTCCCTTTTAGAGTTGCAGTTTAAGTTAAAAGAGATATGTTGAATTTATTCTTCAAAGAGGCTCAACACAAATAATTGCATTAATGTTATTTATAATAAGTTTTCTGTAAAAATCCTTCCTTGCCTGGCTCCCTATAAGTAACGTCGTACCTATTCCATTCTGAAATCATTTAGTTTTAATAAATGCAGAACATGTTTTAAATCTATAATTTCAATGACTTAAAATCCTTGTAAAATTGAGACATGAATGCAGACTATATCTAAATAACAAAGTATACCACCTTTAACCTAACCTCCCATGCTGTGATATATTCTCGTAGTTGTTCCTCATAACATATTTGTTTTACCTCGGAATCGTAAACTAAGTGTTCTCTCGATACCTCAAATCTAAGAGCTTCCATAATCTAACTACTGTAAACTCTTTCCCCTTTTCGTGTATCAGGATACTGTAAACGTCAAGTTTCGAATAAGGTTAGAACATTTACCGACTCATTTTTAAGTTTATGAAGTAAAAATGAATTTTGAATAAGTTACATTTATCGTCTGCATGAAGCAGAGGTTTCGTATATGATCACTGGATAATAATTATTTGAAAAGTCTATACTGGTTGTTATTTTTAGAAAGGCGCTTTATGCCCCCTTAAGAATACAGAATCAATGATGATTTGGAAAATAGCTATAGCACAATTATTCATGACGCATGCATGCCTTAGTAATTCTATAAAAATTCATTGAGTACAATGTTGTAACGAGATGAAACCTATAACTGACGATACACACAGTATAAGGCTATTGATCAGATCATGTTTAGTTAGCACTATTCTAATCGTGTCAACAACACAATTGTATGGTTTTGAAATACTTATGGGATTCAAAGAAATCAATAGTTCTGATACTAATGTAACTAAAAATTAGAATAAAAATGTAAGCAATAGAAAATGATTTATATCATGACACAATATAAATCGTGATTAAATGTTGTATTGATATCATTTATTTGCTACTTCTCCTCCTTTCTAAAAGAACTATATTATAGACATGGATGATGTGTTTTTCATTACTTAATTATAGTAAACCGAATATAACTAGAGCCTTTTATCCGGTATATTAAATATTTCGTGCTTTTTATATCGAGATCATTTCCTGAGTCAGTCAAATTGAGCGATTTTCCCACCATCCCAATCACTGACACTAACTTGGTTCGTTTTCTGTGAAGCGATTAAAATTAGAAAGTTATTGAAGTTCTGCTTCATTCCATTTCATTTGGTATCGTTTCATTCCATTCCCATCCCGCCTCAAAGCACTGATTTCTCTACTTTCCCACACTATTTTTTTTTTTTTTTTTTGCCATTTCGAGTTCATTACTCGCGCACATGTCCCGTGTGCGTTGCCTTATTGGTGTACAAACCCAGGCAAGCAGACTTTCTGTTGGATACATTACACGTGCGATGCGGAGCGCCTCTCTCTACGGACTCGTCATCTTTCGTTCGCTGCCCGACCGCATCGCGCCAATTAAGAGCAAATTAAACTCGGATGCTTTACTTTAGACACATTTTTTTCCCTTTTACTGTCTGCACCTCCTTGTATTCTACGTATTTTTTTCTTTAACATTCTCCCAGTCAGATTTCTTGCTTCTTTCGTTTTCCTTGCTTTTCTTTTGATGATACATCTCTACATTATTTATGTCTAGGCGCATGAATTGAGTTGAAATTGTCTCCTTTTGTATATGCCTGTCTATATCACACACATACACACACGCACACACACGCACACACACGCACTCACGCACACACATACACACACACACCCTCTCTCACACTATCTCTTATTAAATTTGTAGGCATAGAACTGCCACATTTCCTTTAATGATATGCCTACATTTTTACCTTTTATGTACAGTATTTTATTATTGGGGAAAATTAAAAAAACTTTCGAACGTTTTGATTTTTATTGACTGTTCGTCTTCTCCTTATTCATCTATATTTTGGTTTCCATTTTCTATATGCTTCTCAGCTAAAAAAAAAATTGATCTTAGAGAAGATAAATATTCCACTTATAGTTTTCATAGACTAATCTTTGCTATGTCCTTTGTGTTTTAGTACTTTTTAAAAGAAAACATTACTTGTTAATGGCATACCGTTCATCTCTTTATCAAATACATTTCCTCTAATAATGATAGTGATCAGAAGAGATTCGATATCCAAATATTATTAACTCGCATTTTCCTCAAATTTTACTTGCATTTTCTTGCGAAGTATTAATGTAAATCTTTTGGTGATTTTGTGATCATATTCTCCCCTGGTTTTTGCATAACCTATCATTTTTTATTTGTTATCAACAGTTGATGATTCTGAATAAATTTATTTGAATTTGCTCCACATTTTAAGATTTTTAAATTTCTCGTTTCGTCTTCACTCTCTGTCTGTTCAAAGTAATATACGATAATAAACATGATGTCGTAACTTGAAATTATAGAGAAATGGATGTAATTATACAATCATTAAAGCAAAGAGTTCCGTCGGTGGAAATTATAACGATTTGGTGTAAATTATCTCGACAACTGTCTTCTTTTCACTTTGCATTTATAGATGCACCATTTTTCTATAATTCAAGCGTTCTTTCTCGTCTAACCAAAGAGCGCCGAAAAAAAATATAGCACCAGCACTGCTCGAAACAATTAGCGCATTTATTTGACAAGTCGTGTGTACACTGTGTTTCCTTGCAATCTAATTAGAACTACGCGTTGACCCAGTCAAGCAAATTATATTCAACAACTCACAACTCGGAATGAAATAATATTCGGAGGGGGAACAATCGTAATCATTTTACATCGCTCCTCTGAAAGATATAATATCAACAAGGAATGAAATATTTACTTTATATTTTAGCTTGACGCAGTAATGTTATACATAGCACCAGTAGAGAAATTATCGAAGCGTGTGTTTAAAAAATTGTCCTTTAGACGTGCAGCATACGTGATTTGTGACTGATTTGTTTTGGTGACTGAATAGGCAAGCATTCACAAGAGAGGAGACTGGCAGTTTGAGATAATAAGGGTAAAAAATGATGCACGCTTGACTAAAATGTGTAGTGTCGTACGCTGAGAACAAGCGATAGCTCTCAACGGGTTTACAGCGTGCCTGCCTGCGGGAAGTCTACGCATGCACGAACTTGAACATAGCGCTAATAACTCCGGGTCTTTGGGCGTGCAACCGCAACCTGACTTGATAATGAACGGGTATGGTGTTTCGCCCCTGCCAGTGGATAGCAACAATGCAGGCAGCTTAATTTGAAACAGTTTGCAGGAGGGAGATCACACTCTAGATGTTATTTTAAGTAATTAGATATTTATTATTAATTGCTTCGATTTGCGACATAAAAGAACTTTTTACATGTTTCGACCGCATGGTGGGGGAATTATGAAATTGCTATTATGATTAAAAGACAATTAGAATTTACTTACTCGAATATATGCGATACCAAAGGAAATAAGGTATGCACTGACTTCTTTATTCGTATTAGAAGTATGCTTATGCCATTAAAGGGAATACATAGTTTTGGTATAGTTTAAAAAATATAATAATGCTTTTTTATGAGTGGTCTTTTCATAAGTATAATTTCACTAGATTATCGTGACGTTAAAACCTCATGTACATTAAAGACATTAATGATAATGACTTAACTAGATGTTACCGACATGGCAATATAACTATGTCCCTACATCATTCATTTATATTGCAATATTATGTATACTTCGTTTATTTTTGCGTATACAGAATTGTACACTTAATTGGCAAAGCAATTGATTACAAAAAAAATAATATCACATTATGAAAGGGGGTAAATTCAATGTTTCACATAAATGCAGAAAAGTCACGAGTATATCAATTAACAATGAAAAGTTATCCTATTCTTAAGATTAATATAATGCTTTATCCAAAAGTGATAAGTTTTACACAAAAAGTTTCAAAGTAGTTTTGATAAAAAATTTACATAACAAATTACAGAATATTTACTCTTCAACAACAATATAAAGATTGTACTAGCGATTGTAACATTAAAAAAGAGAAAAGTAAAGTCACGAATTTACCTTTATTCTTGGGAGTTACGGGAGTGAAGGCACTTCCAGTCCTGGGTTCAGCAGTGACAGCTATCCCGGGAGATGCGGGGGAGCTCTCATCTGAGTATTCGCTGGGTGACAAAGCATAGCGCTGGGGCCTTTTGCTCACTTTGACTGTCTTCAAAAAGATCTCGGCATTGTTTTTCCTCCAAAATCCACACACACTTAAGGGAAAATTGGTAAAGGTTGCTTCGAATCAGCTAAGAAAAAACTTGAAGTTTGTCACACTATGACCTCAAGGATCAAAATGCGATATTCACTCTTGAAAATAGCCCTTAAAAAGTCGGTACAGAAAACATTATTTTCCGACTTAAAATTCAGATGATGACAAATGAAATTAAGTGACTCCAAGTTAACAAGACTTTGATGATGAGTTAACAAGCAGAGAATGGATGTTTCTTGGTCCACGTCTATTTAGACACTGGATCACTGCTTACAAGTCACCGACGCTTTAAGCAGATTTTGCCGATTACCCTCTTGTTAAGTAAATAGTATTACCCTTTACCAATGCGCTTCGTGATTGGAAGTGCACACCGGTTTAACTGAAGCGCACAAGACGAAGCCTCAATCATAAACCAGTCGCTGTTTAGGGAAAAAATGAACCTATAGATGAATAAAGGGATGCGGGAATGGGATAGATGTCAAAAAGAAAAAAAACTGTGTGGATACCACAGAGATGCGTCCCTTCTTACGCACCAATCGATGATGGTGTATTGTTAAGGAGTTCTACTTAACACAGGTGTCCGTTCGAGGGCCCCTTATTACTGTACGCCACTGAGTTACCGTCGGCGCGCGAGCAAACACACTCTGTGTGTATAGCGCTTTTCACTGGGTCGTGTACGGTATGCACGCCGTGAAATGGACTCCACTTTCGTGGTGTTTTGAGAGATAAGTTAGACGGGCGTTCTGATTGGCTAAAATGCTGATTCATGAATATTCACGTTAGCTTCACCTCGCTGTGATTGGTCAGGGGTGAAATGGTGTCGGGCGGTGCACATTCCCTTGGTGTGGAGAGTAAGTTTTGACGCCGTTTCCAACGATGGGCCTAATTTACAAACGCCACTCGCTTATTTCTTTCTACGGAAGACGAACGCAAAAGTATGGTCATATGAACTTTTATCGTTAAATATATTTGCAACAAATGGGTGAGCGTCGTTCGCCGTTTTCTACCTCCATTCCAGTCTTAGCCAATGTAAAATAGGCCTATTAAATTAATAGACATTTTGTTTTTGTATCAGGGAATCACAAGAAGCTTCCAAAAGATTAGGTTCAATCTATATTTTAAAGTGTCAATTTAGTGTTTGTAAGGCGTATTCCGTCTTTATGATTACTAGACCCCCCCCCCCCATAAAATAAATTTCAGTTTAAAGACATTTAAGGAAGTTTGTTTCAAATGACATGTACGTCTGGTAAATCATAACAGTAATATAAACTAGGTAACACATCGTAGATAACTTATGAAGGCTTACATTATATAAAAAAAACTAAAAATGTAAAAATAACCATTTAAAAGGGCCCGAGGAGTGACCATTTTTTCGAAATGGTGGACTAAGACTTTGAACATGCTGGATCCAACATTGTGAAGGTTGGATCTAGCATGTTAAAAGTGTTAATCTGACATTTTAGAAACATGGTCACTCCTCTGCCCTTGTTTATGGTGATTTAAGTTTGTTTTATAGAGTGTAGGCCTACATTGATTCGATGCTCTTCTGCTCTCTGCACAAAGATTTAATAATGAACTACATAAAACCCACAAAAATGATCATGCACACAGAACATTCAATTATATGATTTATAAAAGATTATAACCTGTTACGCTAAAATATAGATTAATTTTATAGTTAAGTTGGTCTGTTTACAAGTTCCGTTTAGGACTTTATTTCTCAACCGCGAGTTTTTATTATATTGTGCGTGGGGGGAATCAGCAAAGAGGAAGAGAGAGAGAGGGAGAGAGAGAGAGAGAGAGAAAAGGGAGAGGAGATATAAAGACATGTGAAAGAGATCAAGATGGATATGAGAGAGAGAGAGATTTTGGCACGCAAAATAATAGAAATATAAAGATAGGGAGACGAAGAGATATGCAAGAGAGATATTTTTAGATATTTATCTTGATTATTTATTGTTTGTTTTAAATATGTCATTTGATGTACCATTGTCATTTTTATGTTAATTCGATGTATTTACATTGTTTCACACGGCCCCAATGGAAATCAGTCTTGTAACTGTTTGGGCTTTTTAAACCGTGTATAAATAAAGATATCAATTCAATTCGATTCAATATTAAAGAGAAAAAAGATATAACAGAGAAAAAGAGATATACATGTACAAAGAAAATGAGAAAGAATGAGAATGAATTGAGAGGAGGGAGATTGTTGAGATTCAGGTAGAGATGCAGCGTGAAAAAGAGAGATGTTAGTGTGGAAAGATGAAGAAAGAGAAGGAGAGAGAGAGAGAGAGAGAGAGAATAATGTGGATGTATAAAGACATGAAGCAGGGGATGGAGGTCACTTATTTCTCAACCCATCAGATAATTCACAAGATTACGTCTCTTTGCAACACGGTTTGTCAAGAAAATTCGTTCGGTGTCACGGCTTTACCTACATAATTCATCAAATTATGCTAGGGAATGGATAGCATAAATCATGCTACAAAAAGCTGAATCGCAAAATTGAATTCCTTTCAATTTTGATAGAGCACGACCACTTTCACCTAACCGTACCTTATTCATCATTTTGTCAGTACAATTATAGGGCACAACGGAACAAGATAATAAACGAATATATCTCTCCAAGTAATTATTGTTATGGATATCAAAACTGTGTAACCTATATCTGACTTTTTCATAGCGAATAAAGATATAAAAGTGTGAGCTTTTGATCATCCCAATCGGCACCAATAATGATAGGGATAGGTTTAATCAGAGCATAATGATTAAAACAATTTCAGGCGTCCCTCAAGCATGAAACTAATCGCCTAATTTGATATACACTGATGCTTGTTGGAGTGGGTATAGAAGCTCAAGTAATTATTACTCCAATCATTCCTGCATGTATTCAAATTGTGTTCTGCTTTTTTTGATCGCTGTACTTGAGCTAAGTGATGGAAGCGGAAAGGGTTGAAGGATGATAAGGTTTAACGCAAATTAACAACATTGTCTTTCTAATCTTGTACTCAGACTCGACCTTCTTTTATACTAACGGTAAAGATCACACGAAAGAAAAATATAATGGATATTATATACATGTATATAGGCCTATATGAATAATGATTTGAGTGATCTTTAATTGATGTTGTAATTTGATGTTTTATATGTGTATATAATATTCATGAAGAAAAGGTTTTCCTGTATGCGAACAAATACTTCATAGTGCTATAGCGGAGAAACAGCAACAACAATGTTTACAAGATTTCCACGTTAAATGAGTGCCTCGATTTTTAAATCCAAATTCAAATCTGATTTAAACAATTTGAAGTTTAATTCCTTGAAATATTCTGCTCATCTTCATTTTTAAGAGAAAGGCATTAATACGTCTACCCAGTAGGTGACTTTTATCATTTGTCATTTTAAGAGGTCTTTAACCATTCCGTTTCCATGGTTTCAGACCCATTAAAATAATGATCAAAATGAAAAACCAGTTAAAAAAATGGATTCGTTGGATTTTGATTTTTTTTTTATTATTGAAAGATAACAGCCATTAGTACGGAACATAAATGCCACCATAATTTACCCCGAACCAGCAACAAAACAAAATCACCCTCAAATGAAGAAAAAAATAACACACGCACACGCATGCACACGACACGAGAGTAAGAATATGAAGCACCAAAGTGCAACTTAGAAGACATTATGTTTGCATCTATATAGGTTCAGTGGCATGCATATCCAGCTTAAGGGTGAAACCTGCATAACCCCCTTATTGAATTAATATAACTAGAATGGGCGTACAGTAGGATTGAGTGGCACTCCCCCCCCCCCCCCCCCCCATCCCCACCCCAACCATCCCAGTCCCAAAAGAATGTATGGGTTCTGGTAAGCTCCAAAACGTTTTTGTTATTTTTCTGTGATTAAGTTGCTAAAAATTAATGTAGCAAGACATTCGCATATCTAAGCTACCTAGTGTAGAGTATTTTCTATTCAATGACGGGTAATCTGTAGAATCTCTGCAAGGTGCTGATCTGTGTTTTCGTAACCTATTATTATCAAAACCAAATAAATTGGATATTTTAGAATAAAGCAACAACGGGGCAGCATTCATGTCCAAGAGTCGACCCTTGTATTGACTGAATATGGACTTTAAACCATATTTTGTAATTATGTGTACGCAATATGATACGAGCTAATTCCTATGATGTATGCTACACGGCTATTGATGACACCCGTTGCATGCCGTATCTCTCTTCCACCTGAGGATGAACAACCCAAGATGAGAGGGAAGAGATCTGTTTCCTAGATTACTGATGGTGAGAGAAAAATAAATGAACGAGGATGACTCCTGAGGAAGACGGCCGCATGTCAGGATGACAAGATTTTTTTCTCTCTCTCCTACCCTCGCCTCATCCTTAAACAACCCTTCCTCATCAAGAAGGGAACTTCGTTGATGCCAACGCGCAGCGCCACTGCGTCGGTTTTGCGCAGACGACTGATGAGCGGAGAGTTTTCGCGAAAAATTGCAGTGTTGTTTGACGCGCTGCGGCGAGCGGGCTGCGGCGAGCGGACTGCGGCTTCGCCTGCTCTGGACGGGCTCTCATCGCATCTTTCTTCAACTTTTCTTCAATTTCTCTCTCCTCATAAGCGTGCGAGCTAGCTGCAACGAGACGGGTGAGGGAAAGGTCATGAATATTTGTAAGGTAGACTCTTTAAGGCGAGATTGGATGAGTGGGAGAATGCTTGATCGTAAAGGCAAGATGGAGGAGAAAAGAACATTGATCTAAGACGATCCAAAACATGGATCTTTAAAAAAAAAGAAAAAAATATCCGATTCGTACCGGCGCAGATGTCGTTGTTGGGGGCCAAGGGAAACATTACTCGATTTATGATGAGGAAAATTAATTCTAATCGAGCGATGAAGCAAATAACAAAATGTAACAACAACAGCAGCAATAGTAACAACAACATCAACACCAATACATAAGAAAAGAAAGTAAAAATCTCAAAATTCCAACAACAGTACTTTACTGATACTTACTATTCAAGTAGTGGCTATCATTGTGCCTCCATTACTTATTCTCGTAAAGCGTTTCCGGTGGATATATCTTACATCAATGTGCATTTGTTTCATTATTTTCATTAAAAAATCACATACTCGAGCCCGAAGTATAAATTTTTATATTCAATAAACTAATTATCATCATAAAATCTGTTTTTCTCTATACTAATATGGTTAGGTGATAAAATTTAAGATAAAATGAC